GTAAATGTGGATAGAGGGCCCCCTCAGATTCATTAGGAGTGGACCTCTCTGACTATCAGTCTCAGGGGCCTCTTGTGGCCAGTATGAATATAAGAGCCTCTCAGACCATCGGTCTCAGGGGCCTCTTCTGACTAGTATGGATAGAGGGCCCTCCCAGACCACCGGTTTCAGGGGCCTCCAGTGGCCAGTTATATGAACAGAAGGGCCTCACAGCCATCAGCCTCGGGGGCCTCTTCTGACTGGTGTGAATATGAGGGCCTCACATACCATCAGTCTCAGGGGCCTCCTCTGCCTAGTGTGAATATAATGGCTTCCCAGGCCATCAGTCTCAGGGGACTCTCCTGACTGGTGCCGGATTGAGGGACCTCCCAGACCGAAAATTTTGGGGGTCTCCTGTGGCCAGTATGAATAGAAGGACCTCTCAGTCCATCAGTCTCATGGGCCTCTTCTGCCTGGTGTGATTATAAGGGCCTCTCAGGTCATCAGTCTCAGGGGCCTCCTCTGACTACAGTGTAGATGGATAGGCATCCCAGACCATCAGTCTCAGGGGCCTCTTCTGACTATTGAGGATAGAGGGGCCTCCTATGACTAGTGAGGGTAGGGGGCCTCAACTAGACCGCCAGTGTCAGGGGCCTATTCTGACTAGTGTGGATGGCGGGCCTCCCAGACCACTAGTCTCAGACCTCTGACTAGTGTGGATAGAGGGGCCTCCCAGACCGCCAGTGTCAGGGGCCTCCCCAGACCAGTGTTGATATTGGGGCCTCCTCAGATCCACTAGGGCCTCTCAGGCTATCAGTCTCAGGGGCTTCGACTGACAAGTATGAACAGAGGGCCTCCTTGGATCCATCACGCCCCTTGGAGTCCGTGCGTGGGGATTCGTGGAACTTATTTTTACCGAGTTTGTTTATTCTGGAAGGTGACGACGTCCTCTCAAATCGAGACGAGGGGCCTCGAGTAAAAAGTGGGTGGGCCAAAACACATGGTTGGCCCCCCCACCTCGAAAAGTGGGTGGGCACTTGCCCACCTGGCCCCCCCTGTTCCTACGCCTATGGTCAAAATTCGTGTGTGTGCTGATTTTTTGTGACGATAGTCACCCACGTGACTATAGCCGACTTTCTGACCAGTTTACATGCTTTCGCTATACACACTGTCTAATAAATAAAAAGACCAGAGTGAAACAGTTCTTCGAAGCGCACTGACAAATAGCTTTCTGCATATTACCGGTTCAGCGAACCGTGTCTGATCAATTCAGCCGGTCGGTCCGCCCTCTGACGTCCCGATAGCGCAGCTGGTTTGACCACTAGCGACCGGTCCGCATCCGCCCTGGGGTGAGAGGCGCAGCTATTGGGTCAGTGTGCCGACCACTCTTTGTTGTCTACACGCGCTCTACTTGGCCGCTCCCAGATACATCCTCACACAGACCGCACGGTAGTCGTCATCACGGTAAAAAGCTGTCTGTTCTGCGTGACATCCGGTGGTTTAGCCGCGTCCCTCTGGATCGGGTCGGCTCGCCGGCTCAGTCCTCCGACCACTCCCGCCGTCACTTGCCGGCCACTCCACCGGCGGCAGCCCTGTGACGAACTCCCGATAATGTGGAGCAGTTTGCGCAACACCGCTACCACCGTCAGCAGTGTCGGCTAATCGCTCCGTTCCACGACAGTTGCAGGCGCGCCCGGGCGTCACTCAGGCGCGACATTGCTCTATGCGGCGCGCAGTGGCGAAAAGTGGCGTTACGTAGCGCCACACCGCCCACCGGTGCCGCAGACGTGAGCTCCATTAGCTCGCGATCGAGTGAGGCCGCTGATCGCCACAGGCCGGCGCTGACGTAACCGGCGAAAACGGTGTTGTCGGTGACATGTGTGCCGCCGGCTGTGTCATTTGGTCGCGCTGCTGCCCCGCCCGTCGCCGCTGGCGGTGTCATTTGGTCGCGCTGCTGCCCCGCCCGTCGCCGCCGCTCTCCTCTCGCCGCTGCCGTCCTCGCCACGCCCGGGCAGATTGGCGGTGCCCGCTGCACTCGGAGCGCGCCGGATGTGATTACCAAACGGGCGACTGGCGTTGCGGAATCGTGTCGATGACCGCGGCCGTGCCGGAGCTGACCGGACCGGACCGGACCGGACCTGACCCTCTCCACCCGTCCGACCTGATTCCTCGCGAGGATGAGCGACAGAGGAAATGAATCACGCCGCTCAGAACTCAGCAATGTTTTCCTTTCGTTCGAGGAAACTTTCACGATTTGTGATTCACGAATAATGTGGTGGCAGAGTATCAAACCCGAAGGTTAGGCTGGCTGGAGCAGCTCGGTTGTGGGCTGAATATCTCGGGGTAGTCGCCCTCGAGACGGATGTCAGGTGTGACTGAACTCAGGCCCGGGCTCATCCATAGTCAACTCTGTCGAGGTGCGTCGTTTGAGGCTCACTCTAAGCCCGGAGACAGCTCGACAGGGGGTCCCTCCAGGGTGGTGGATTTGAGGCGCAGAATGATGACAGCCGGTGTGTCCGCGCCCGCTGGAGATCCGCCGAAGGCGCTGAAAGGAGTGCGCGGTGAAGGGAAGGACAGAGCTCGATCTCGGCTCGGTCCAGCCGGCGCTAGGAGAGGTATGAAGACACACTGCTGGTTGTGTCCGGTGAAACCTCTCCGGGCGGGGACGCGGCTCGCCGGGACGCTGTCGGTTCCGCGCCGCTGCGCCGCCGATGACGGGGCGCTCCCGATGACTGCTCCGTCACCGTCACTGGCACAAGGACCGCTTCTGTGACCGACAGCGTCATCTGACCGCTACTGGCGTCACAGAGACCGCTACTGTGACTATCAGCGTCACAGGGACCGCTACTGTGACGAACAGTGTTACTTCGCTACTGCCGTCACAGGGACCGCTACTGTGACGGAGAGCGTCTCTTGACCGATATTGCCGTCACAGGGACTGCTGCTGTGAGGGCTCCCCAATCCCCATAGACCAGTCTACGGGGCTACCTGTTGTCCCTATCAGCCACTTGGTTGGGAGGATGAACTGGGAAATCATTTTACTTTGCAGACCTTTGTGCTACAATTTCTATTTTTCTCCACTTGTGACGTTTTCTTTCCAATTGATTTGGATTGTATGTGTTTACGACAACATGCTTTGCTTCAATTTCCATCTAAGCCTATTCTCTTTGCCTTCTTCGTTTTCCCACCTTCTCTTTAGTTCCGTCTATCCATCCGCTCGTCCGTCACCTGTTTGTCCGTCATTCGTCCCCTGTGGCCGAGCGCGGGCAGGACCGGCCCGGGGGCGTCGCCTGGGGCCGGTTCCCATCAGTCTCGCCAGTCTGTCAGTCCCGTGACGGCGAGCCCAGTTAAAGCCGACCATTTCCGGCGAACAAAACGAAGCGGAACCTTGAGCGGGCGCCGGCCCGGGGCGCTGGCCGGTCTCGCACGGCTGAGTCGGCCGCGGACAGGCGGCCTTTTTGTGGCCCCTGCTCCGCGGCTGGGCCTTCTGGCGACCTCTCGCGTGCTGGCGGGTAGGTGCGATTGCCATGAAAGCGGGCGGGACGAAAAACGACGCTAAGTGGCCGCTGAGACGCCAAGCAACCGTGCGTGGAAAGGGGCGGACAGTTGTCTTTTTGGTCGTTATCTCGTCTCAGCGCGGCGTCTTGTCCCAGGACCAGACCGCGTTGGCTCAGAGGGTCTCCTGCGCGGCGTGGCGTCCTCCTTAGAGCCGGTTTTAGAGGACGAGAGGAACCGTCGCCGCTGTGACGGGACGGGACGAGAGAGGCATGTCGAGGTCGCCGGCCCGATGTGCCGATAGACGAGTCAGGGTGTCTGCTGGGGGCTGGACCTCGCCCCTGCCGCTGGCCGCGGAAGACGGGGCACCCGACCCGCTCGCCTTGTATCCGTTGGGGCACCGGTCCACCCTGGTCGAACCACGCCTGGTAGAATCAATACGGACATAGCTGAACCGAGTCGAAACGGACCACGCCATGCCGAGCGTGCCTGGGATTAGTTGAGCCTCAGCAGAGCGGTGCAGGCGGGGCCGGGGACACGCCCTGTATGTGTAATCATGTGTAATAAGCCACCCGTGACGGGGCCGTGACGCTGTCCGTGACGCACCTCGTGACACCGCGCTGAGTCAGCGGGTGGGATCGGCTGTCAGTTCAGCGTCAGAACAGCGGCCGGCTGGGAATTAGTGAGTGCGATCTGACGCGCCGCGACTCGGGTGGTTGTCCGGCCCGGTGAGTCGCCGGATCATCAACGCACGGACGGGACTGGAGAGAGGTACTCTGACGTCATTACCCACCTCTGGCGGCCGCGGAGCCGGGGAGGGGTGGTGGGAACAGTCTCACCTGCTGTCTCCAGCGGCAGTAAAGCGCTCGGTCCGTAGAAACTGAAAGGGAGGAGGCTGCTGTCGCCGCTAAGCCCGTAGAGTGAGTGATGTTATCTGATCATTGTTGGGAGAATTGGTGCAAGGCTGCGCGTGCACGCTTTCCGCTTACCGAGCCGAGATAGGAAGGTTCTCCTCAGAGTAGAGGAAATGCCACATAGATTGGTGACTGTTGTCCGTTATTGCCTTGTAGATTAGCAGACAAGGCGATGTTTTATTTGCTGCTGCGGTGAAACGCAGTGTTTTGCCGCGTTTGACGGCTGTCGTTATCTCCGGCCGGAGCCAGGGTCACTGGTGTCGCTCCGATAGCGGCCGTCTAATCAATACTTTCCCGCTGGGCCTGTCTCCGCCGTGCAGTGTTTTGTACGCCGGGAAACTCGCTGCGTGTGTCTGGTTTGTTTTCTCCGAGCGTCGCCGGCTACCACGCAGCTTTCCCTGCGCCGTGCTGACACCGCCCGCCCATGGCGTCTGATGAGCGGCCCGGGGCCGACAATCGAGCCGCCCTGTCCCACCCCGCCGCCGAGCGCCGACGCATTTACCGACACGCACACGAACTTTCGACCGCTCTTCTAGCGGCGCCTCCCCATTCGAACACGCACTCGTATGTATTCTGATCTGTATTCTGACGTCGATCTCTCTCTGTTCACAGATCCGGACGATGTGCTGCGCGTTCCTCGAGGCAACCCCCCGATGTCAGGAACCGGCCGACTGCGCCCTCTGCCGCGGCTGCCGCGCGTGAGGTCCGTGTCGGCACCCCTCACCTACTCAGACCCGGCTCACCTGGCCGACTGGGACTGGAACCAGTGGGACGAGCGGCCCATGCCCGAGGGCTCCGTGCCGCCCACCGCATTCTCCTTCCGCCAGCGCGCCTCCGAGAAACAGCGTAAGCGCTCGAACGCGTTGGATATCGAGGCGGCGCATAGTCTGGGCGGCCAGCGGATCGCGGGGACTCGCACCACCAGCCGGGCGTCTGTCTGCAGCCGCATCGAGGAGGTGCACAGGAGACTACACCCGGACGGAGACTACGACGACTTCCGGCGCGCGCCGCCCTCCCGTCAGCTGAGCAGCGATCGGGAGGACGACTACGCGTACGCCTACGACTGCATCGTGTCTCCAGCCGAGGTGATTCTCTCCGAGATGGATGACGACCGGCCGGCAGACTACGGCTACGCCCGCTGCGGCGACCGAGAGAACATCTACGAGGAGCTGGACGAGCTGGCGCGGCGGATGCGCGGTGACCTGACCCCCGAGCCGCCGCCGACACCGCCGCCGCCGCGCTACTCGGGTGAGGTACACACAGAAGTGCAGCACGTGCAGCGAGTGCACAGCCAGGTGCTCGGAGAGCTCCGGCTGGACATGGAGGCTATGCTGATGCCCAGTCAGCGCTGGCACCACCTGGACGTGCCGGTCGGGCCGACTGACGACCTGCTCAGTCCTGACTCGGGGTTCCACTCGGGCTCGGGCTCGGGCTCGACGGTCATCTCCAACTATGACACGCCGCTGGGGCCGCGCTCTGTGGTGGTGCCGCCGCCGCCGCGGCCGCCCCGGCTCCGCAGGTGCGAGTCGCTCGACCTGAAGGACGCCGTGTCGCGCCAGAAGGCTCGCGGAAGGGGCGGCGAGAAAAAACTCTGGAAACTCAGTTCTGTGATAAGTGGCCTGCTGGGCAAGTACAGTCGGAGCAAACGGCGCCCCGCCAGCCCGACGTTTACGTGATGTGTGTTGCACGGCCCGCGCACCGCTCAAGGCTGCACGTGTGTCTCACGTGTGTCGTACATGTGTGCACGTGACGCCCTGACGTGCTCGGTCGACCCCCAACAACGCTGACCACATGGACCCGCTCGCCCCCACTGACCAGTCGCCGACGTGCTGTGCCGATTTTCCCACCGTGTCTCGGTGACCGGTATCTGAACTAGGGGTTCTTGCCTCGGGATGAAATTGTCGAGCGATGGGGAGGTGCCGAGCGCTCGAGACTCGCGCTCGAGGCCACGGCTCGACCCGCCGACTCGTCCGAACGGCAGACTCGTCGCGAGCGAGTCTGTCCGTTCCCCGCGCCCTCGCTAGTCCTAGTCACATGCCCCTGCTCAAGCCCCTCCAGGCTCGTCTCTCGTGGTGGGAGGTGAGCGAGTGTGAGAGAGTGACCGACGGCGACCGTCTGCCGTCACAACGTCCATGACAGCCCAGTGTCTTCGATATGGTGTGGTGCAGATTATAAATACAGTATTATTTCTAACGATGTGTTCTTACTCGTATGTTCTTTGACCGACAAACACGATGGTCATCGCGCACTCTCTTCGTATATAACTATTGCTTCGGATAAGCCGCGAATTACGTGAAAATATCAATAGCTCTGAGGGCTAGGCTATCGGAGCTTCGTTAAGGCTAGGAAGACAAGTGTAGCCATTTCTCGAGTTGTGTATTTATTATTCAGAGATGTCCCCAGAGATAGGCTAGTTCCGACGAGGTCAGACAGAGTCATTCCCTCTCCTGAGTCATATCTCCGCCCGGCTGTGACGGCTCTTACACTCGACCTTGCCGGGTTTTCGGGAGCGCGGTAGGGTTCTTGAGACAGACCGCCGCCCTCAGTCCGACACTTCCTTATCGCCTTGACAGGCCCACGGGAGGTGATCACCAGCCGCTCAGTGCTCACACGAGCGAGACGGCGACACGTGACCGTGCCGCGCCCGAAACACAACGGCTGGCGTTCATCAAACGAGCGAGATTTTCGCAGCGGTCGCACAAAGGTCTCCTCTCGAGCTGTGGTAGTTCGGCGGAGCACAAAGCATCTCCCGGAATTAGTGCCTGCTGGCGATGCATGCCGCGTGGTGGAAGTGGGCTCAGAATAACCGCACTGCTCGCAGGCGGCGCCCCAAGGTCAGCTATCGAGCCGGCGCGCAGCGGTGACCGGCCGACAAACTGACGGCTCACGTCCGTCCCGCCTGGCGCTGCATGGCACGGCACGGAGAAAGGTCTGAACAAACCATATAAACAGGGAAAAACCGCCCTGCATGATTTGCGGCTGGGCACGGTGCTGTTACGTTCATTTGATCGAGTCTGATAGTTGATCGGAGCATAAGGGTATGTTGGTAGCTGAAAGTGTCAGATCACGACGTGTGAGATATAACGCGGCAGGTAATTTGGCAAATTACCCCACTCCGTGTTACCTGCTCGGTCTCGGTGTTCAGTGTTCACATGCACCCGCTTCCGCTGGGTGAAGCGGCCTCCGTGTGATGTGGGTGGTGGTCACCGCTGCCTGCTGGGGTGCTCTGTGGGTGGTGGTCAGGTCTCTGCATGGAGCAGTTAACGTTGGTTACGACTTACGATTATCTGACAATGTCCGATACACTTAAGGGAAGGTGGTGGACCCCACACGAGCGCAGTGCCAGCCAGCCATGTCCGAGGCATCTTGGCACGATCCGACCAGGCGAACTGGCGTCGTTTCTCGGAGCCACCTTTTCAATCAGATAACTGGGCTGAATGAGAACCGAAAGCCACCGCGGTCGATCGGAATTCTCGTGAATAGCATACACATCAATAGGCCTTTACCGACCGACATCAGCCAGTGAATGCCTGTTTGGGAAACTCCACTTTCCAGGGTCAGCGCTCCCTTTCCGACCAGTCCCTGATCATGACATAGGTACTAAAATCGAACAGCACGACTTGACCAACCACTAACACCTTAATGTTGCAACGACTTCCAAAACTACCCTGCCGGTTCAGTTCGTTGTTCTTTGCAGGTTGCAGCCGCATGAGTTCCCATGAGAACCATGCGCCGACTGCGGCCATCCCTTTGCGGAAGTTACCGATCCATGCAAAAATCGCCACCCCATCCTCGGCTGGACTCCTGGTGGTCTCAGGGCCGGCCTGCGGGACGCGGCCAGCTCGGGCGTGGTTGGTAACGCCCCTGCCCCGCCGGGCGCCGCGCCGGACAGTCGCACTCGCAGGCTTAGTGCGCCGAGGAGGGGAGAGGGAGGGGGGGGGGGGGCAGACACAGCTCGCCGCAGCCGACGCCTTTGCTGCGTCACTGGCGACCCTGTTCGCGCTGTGGTCCACAGGGCTTCACGGCTGTTACTGCGTGGTGGGCGTTCGTCGAAGGCGACAAAGAGCCACCGGGGCGGCCGGTCGCTTGAGGCGGTCGGTCGCTTTTGCCTCCTTCCGCGCCGTCATAAGTGACCCCACTATCGCCGCGTGGGTCTGCCGGCCTCATTGCCCCGTTACGCCCCACGGCCCGCTGTTGTTGCGTGGTGTGTCAAGCGCGACACCTCCGCACCCCATCCCCCTGCCGCCTCCCGTAAAGGGTCAGACGTAGGGTCACCTCAGGTCAGGTCACTAGCAGTCAGGTCACTGCACTGACTGAGAATCCCCTCGGCTCCCTGCTGGCTCCGATAGGGAGATGGGTCGATTTGTTGCCAAAGGGCGGACAGAGGGCATGGGCGGTGAGGCCCCCCGGCTGCCAGCGGGCGTGGCCAGAGGGAATTTATTATCCATTGACACGGTCTGCTGTCTTCGCCCATGCTACAGGTAATGGGATTTTCTGTTTTGTGTCGGTTTGTGATGTAACACGGCAGCTTTCTCTGCATAAACATCCCAGAGTTTTGTTTTCCATTAGTTTGGCCGTGGGTGGCTCAGCGTGCGCCACCTGAAGACACGAGTTTCTCACGAACTGTCTGTTGTGCTGTCCGGGGTCCGCTGACTCGATACGAAGGTGATGAGCGGCTTATGTTAGTCATTGACCTTGTGCACTGTGAAGCGTTGCAAACATTGAACCAGTCGGGTGAGTGAATGCCGAGCAAAATGTACTCACCGGAAATGATCTCAATGGTTCTATCGTCACATGAGACGCGTCATCCATTCTCGGAGGAATCTGATAATATTTTATTTTTGCTTTTATTCAGCAGAAATGATGAACAATAGAGTACCTACCCGCTACCGTGAAGTTCCCAAGAGGTTTTAGATTTAAGCTGATAGACGGTTGGCGAGGTAGTAGATCATTGATGATTCTATTGTTTAATTATATCAGGCGAAGCTCTAACAAGCAATGATGACGGCAGCTTTTCACCACCGGAAGCATTTAGACCCATCTCTTCAACTAAATTAAGAAATCTCAATTATTTCCCAGCGCTCTCGGCGCCATGTCTTTTCCCAACGCCTACGCTCGGCCTGCTCCAAATCTGAATCACAAGTTGCACTTACTCATGACGAGAGTGCCAGGTGGCAAATTCAGCGCAAATTTTTCTTTCAATGAGACGCTGAATGCTTGGCTGAATGGTCTGAGCGGTGAGCAGTCTGTGGATGAGTAGTCTGGTAAGCCTCATGCCTCCCCGGCCGCAGAGTAAATCCGCCGCACCCCAGACCAGCCACGTGACACAGCTGGTGACACGGCGGAACACACATACAGGGTGGTAATAGGTTGGTAACAGACCGGTACACGCTGGTAACAGGCAGGTAACACGGCGCTGGAAGTGGATCAGGCTGATCAGGGAGCGGTTGAAAAATAGGGCCCACTATACGCATTACGCATGGTGATGAAGTCGAGGTTCTAAAGATATCCGTCTTTTTCGGTAATGTAGGTAAAGTGAGTGTGGAGTGTCGGTGGAACGTCTCCTTTTACTGTGCAAGACTTTTTTAGGATTTCTATGAAACACAGTTTAACTAAGTTTTATTTTGCCCTCGAAGCTGTCCCCAATGTTCCATAACTAGGACGATTTTTATCAGACAAGCAAAAACTTCCCTGATGAAATGTCACTTTCAACGACAACTTTCGAACCAAGATTCATGGTATAGACAAGTCATGACCTCCACTCCCATCACAGTGAATCTCTGAACAGGCACCACAGTGTGCAATGAGTGATAACGGTGCGCATCCCACGACTGGACGAAGCGGACTCGGCGGTCGCCGCCCTACATCTGACGTCCGGTCCGACACCCAGCACGGACATGAGTGTGTCGTCATACGGCGGGATACTCCTGACCTGTCCGTCCCTGTGCGGCGCGCGGGACATCTCACCGGGATTACTGTGAAGTGTGAACTATATCCTCTCCCATTGAGGCATTCAGTCCACTTTCTCCGCGGCTCGCCTCCGCCTCCCGTCTCCTCCCCCGGTCGGAGGAGGGAGGAGGAGTCCGCCTCCCGTCTCTGCGCGGTGCGGGGAGGATCCACCTCCCGTCTCCCCGGAATGGGGAGGGTCGACGACCATCTCTCCGGTCTGGGGAGGGGTGCTTGATCGTTTCAGATCTGGGAACGGTCGGCTGAAAGTCTGCTTAGACGGTCAGCCGACCTGTGCGACAGTACGTAAGTACTTACTGGGATGTTTCCACCGACCGTCTTCCAGGTCCGAAGGTCCACAATTCGCCTCTCCGGTCTGCGCAGTATCTGATTCTCGTCTCCGATCGGCCTGATGACTGAAGAGAGTACGACTCCCGTCTACGATTTTGGCAGGGTCAGCTGACCGTCCCTCCGGTCTGGGGGAAGATCCTGTCTAGCGCAGGAGCACCAGTTCCTCTGTGTCGGTCTCATTCTGGTCTGAGCAGTGCCCTTATACCGTTCACTGGCCGTCCCCGAGTCGGTCTCAGGAGTATCTGGTTCGAAGAAGATCCGCCGACCGTCTTTCCCTTTGAATAGGGCTTGACCGCTCTATTTTGCGTAATATCGATAGCCCATTCTTTTATTTTGGCGCCTGTATTGTCGTCATTTTCAAAATAGTTGAAAATGCAACACAACAATCGGTTTATGTATATCACATCTATTTACCTAAGGCATAAGGGGTTATGTGCTGATATGGTGCTGATTATAAATGCACGGAAAACTCAACGGTAATAAACTCTGAGCAGACATGGAATTAATTTCAGCCTGACTGAAGCTGTTTATTTCAAAACGTCCGATTTACCAGTCGTGCCTCTATAACCACATAATGTATGGTCCATGCGTATTGCGTATCAAACGGCCACCCGCTTTCCATGCACATCAAACGTCGATTAACGTCGTTATGTAACATCATGTGACTCGACGCTTTACCGCTGAGTCTGTAATAGTATCAGTGACACGCATTGCGCATATGGAAAACGCTGAACACTTCAACATTATCACACAATAGGTGTTTAGGACTGTTCTTACAGGCAGCTAATGATTTCCTCTTGACTTGTATGAGCTTCTGAAAAAAGTTAAAACATCAGAGCTAATGCCAACTTCAAGTAAATACCGTAAGACCGACTTATCAGCAGCAAAATACATGC